TGTTGGGAATATTACGAATCACAATTAAACACCGACAATAGAATACACACTTAGTTTATTCGTGAGGCCTACATATTATAGTATGTTAACATCAAAAGCCGCGCGGTCGGAGCGCGGCGGGCGTAACTCTATACAACACGTACAAACGCTGGGTCGCGGACGCGCGAACTGAACGTAGGCGGAGATCTGTCGCTGGCGCACGCCGCGGTGCGCATGCGTAGTGAGTGTATGATTGTTTGTGGAGTGGCTGCGCGCAAACGAGTCCTTACAATAGTTTTTTTTTTTTCAATGTGTACGCAATAATGGTAATAGAATCTTGGACCTGGTTTTGACATTCCTTATAAAATTGCTATAAACAATTTTTCAAACATGTTCTCAATTTTATGCACGAATGACAAAATCTTAGTAACGCCTATACAAACAAAATACCTCTAGTCAAGCATTAACACCTACCAGCACGGGTTTCTGCCTCATGAGACAAGAGTCAAATCGTGTAGCGTATGTTTGGAATGGGGGTGGGGAGGTGCATTCTATATACACTGACTTTAAAAAGGTGTTTAACCTCGTGAACTATGATATTCTTCTGTACAAGAGGGTATTCACAGGTAACTCCTAATATGGCGTTAGACTACTTACGCAATAGATCTCAGTTAGCTATTGTTAGCGGCTTACGTCTAAACTGGCGTTGGGGCCACAACAACCAGTATGTCCCAGGGCTCTCATCTAGGACCTCTACTTTATTATCATATTGCTCTCTTTCTACTTTCCAAATTCAATGTGTGCGCTGACGACCTGAAGCTCTATAACCCAGTTATTTCAAGGTGAATCGATGGTGTTCTGAATTTGATCCTCAATACAAAAAATAGGTACCACATGAAATTTGCCTGGTACGGAATGTTTTTAGTTATCATTTATTTTATTGGCCGTTACCCTTACGGAGGTTACCAACTTTCTAGACTTGGGTGTCGGAATGAACGCTACGACTAATATTTTGGTATTAAACTTCAAGGCTAACGGTTTTGTGTCAAGACAAACGAAAATGTGTAATGAACCAACAATATCGTAACGTAGTATTTTAGAATACTGTTCCACTTCTGTCTGGATCCCAGACTACTGCAAAACTACAGACAAAAATGATCGTATTTATAAACCTTTGCTCTATCATTTTACATAGAATAATCGTAAGTGTAAACAGCTCATATGAAAATAGTCATTGTTCTCTCTCTTAAGAAGTTGCAAAAATCCCTAAAAGCATTTGATTTGAAGTTTTTATTGAAAGTTATTCACGTTATAACCGCGCTTAATGTACTCAAGTGTATGATGTATTTCTCCGTCACCGGAACAAAAACGCTGTCGCTACCTACTTCCACAAGTACGAAGATGCGATACAAAGGACGGTGTTGACCCAGGTTAGTTGTTGAACTAACCGGGGTCAACACCGTCCACTGTATCATATGTCCTCTTCTTGCTCTAAGATTGAATTTCGACATGTTCTCTAGTTCTGTAGTCTCAACTAGGAACTCGATTAAATAGAACCGTATATGTTAACTAGACGATAGTTGTGTTGTCTGTTTTCTTCAAATATTAGATAGGTACAAATTTATATATCGACTTCTTAGGTTCTTGCGATTTTAACAATGAATTGTATAAAAACAAATACAAATGCAAGAAAATATGTATGTATTACATTCATCATATTTCTACAAATAGATAATTGTACATTAATATTTACAATGTTACATCAAGTATAATTAAACACAGTTAATTAACTATCTGGTAAGGTGGCGGTGGCGGCGAAGCACATTTGTAATGTGACTTTCCAAATATGTTGCAAATGAACGATCTTGATTGCTCTTTCACTAGTTCAGGGTCCTCTGTAACAAATGTTAATAAAATTAATACTGATATATGCATGCGACTTTGGTATTTAAATCTGTATATTCACACGGCGCGGTAAGCTCGCGCGGCGCCGATTTTTACGGACGTGCTCGCACCACAGACCCCTACATAGCCGGTCCCTGAAACCCCGGGCCGTGGGAAGCCAGCTTTACGTTGCGTACCACCAAAACCTACCATACCCAGGGCTAATTTTGTAAGATACTGGGATTCAAATTCGAGACCTTCTCATCAATCAACACGCATAGTGCTGAAACTGAAATATCGATATCATCAAACGAAATCTGGCAACAACAAAAAATAGAGTCTACCACCGAAGACTAATAATTGTAATACATTCTGATTGAACATAAGTTGTAGGCAAAAACTATAATGTAAAACAATAGATACATAATATCTGTTTTAAAATATAAATACTCAACATGTTTGCTCCTAGGTTTAGTTAAAAAAACACTACCTAAATTAGTAAGTTGAAACCAGGAATTGCTCCGGAGTCAGATTAGTTTTTACCTATGTAGGGGCCACGGAGGAAATTTATGTGGTCTGTGGTAGGGGCCAATACTAGGCTATAGAATTGACTTCAAATTGTTTAAATAGATTGACAAGTTAAGTATGAAAAGGTTCATTGGCAAGGATACAAGCTAGATGAAGCTGTATCTCTTACGTTGTTGTTAAGTCGCTAAATGTCAAAATTCACTTAGAATTTTCATTAAACACAGAATTATTTGCCTACTTATGTGTAAGGTTTAACTACCTCCGTGGTCGAATGGTTACCATGCTAGACTGCCACGCAAGAGGTCCCGGGTTCGAGTCCCGTGCCGGGAGAAATATTTGTATGGCCTACATTTATTTCTCTCGTGAGTTTGGATGTAATTTGTGGTTGGCTATGTGTGTGTCCATGGCACTCGCGATACAGGGTTTCCCTAGTGCGGGGCTATGAGTGCGTGAAAAAAAAAGGTAAACAAACGGCCGCAGAAAGTAGGGCGCAAAGTAAGCTATACTAAAAATGGTCGGTTATAAACCATTCAACTTACTTATTTAAGTAATGTTTGTAATTTTAAAAACTATATAAACGTGGAAAAAACTATACGAACTTTGTTGAAAATGCGATATGAATAGATACATGATATTCCCTGACCTTTGGCTTTGTACAATTAACCTCGCTTTGTCTGATTTTAGAGGAAAATAAACAATATTTGTTTACGAAGAACTGAATGATGTAAACCAGAAGAGTACAATCACGTGATACCATTTTCCATTTAAAAAAAGGAAATATTCTATAAAATTCGCTATAGTTGTACTTTGATGAATTCAGTCAAGAATACAAATACTTCCCTCAATGGACCTCCGGGGTCATACCATGGTCATACCTACAAATATAAAATTTGTCACAATTATTTGTTAGAATTTGTACATTATGTCATTTACATACAGTTACCATCACAGACCATATAAATTCCGTGGTTACCATGAATTTGTAAACTGACATTAATAATAAATCTAATTATTAGACTTGAGTGGTCCTGCTTGTTATTTGACAAACAGTCCCGAGGTTTTGTATAAATTTATGCCATGTGTAGTTTGCTATTTTCCAATTTTAACTTTATCATAAATATTATTCTTTTCACTCAAATGTACATTTGTGTTAAACAATATCTGTAATATTCTTGGGTATTTTGGAATTACAACTGTATTTTTATAATTATCGTTTTCACACAAACGTAAGTATTTGTGCGTGTTCACCCTCCCTCCGCCTAAAAATTAATAAAATAAATAACACAAGCGCAACTACAGTCACAAACCGCCACCAAAAATATAGGTACCCCATACATGTTTCGCCTCTCCACGAGGCATCCTCAGGGGTTGTTGATTGCGAGTGTCGAGCAATAAATTTTATGCGGACGGAGGGTGGGAAAATTAACTGCATGAAAAAAATATTCAACACAAGTGCAACTATTTTGCACGTTTTGACCTTCACTGGGTTCGCGGAGTAAAAATTAATTTATTTCCATTTTTATTAAATATATCCATTTGGCACGTGTCTATTGTCTGTTGGCATTTTCTTTTTCTTGTATTACATTTCTTATGAAATAAACTTTTTGTATGTACTAAAGTTTTCTAACATTAAAAGTCGTGGTTGGCGATAGTAAACACAAGTAATTATTCATTCATTGCATCGCTTACACTTGCTCGTAATAGACGTTTTATAAGTAAATAAGGAAATAAATATCTTTCATTATTTACAAACATCTTCTGAGTTGTAATTTCAAAGATATGACGATAGATTTTAAGTAACAAAAATAATTGTTTTTACTCAACATATCCAGAGAAATTGAACTTTCTAGAAAATTAATATCGCTTTTTATGTTTTAACTTAACCACGGACCACTTCCACGGACAGTAACAGCGTTTACCGTAAAATTAAATGTCACAATAGGATAGTACGGGGTATCCCGTTTCGTTATATGGATTTCAAAAAACCAACTACAGACTTTACAGCGCAATTTCCAAGTGCTTTCAGTGTAGTTGCCGCCTTCGACTTTTCTATAGAGAAATAACGCACTGACATACTGATTTACATACATTAAACGTTTTATATTGAATCGACATAAGCACTACGGCAAGAAAAGTACTAACATGTTTGTGTCCGGTACTATTTAAATACTTCCCGTGAAAGGATTAATTAATATTTGACAAAATAACCCGACTTTATATACGATTTTTCGAATCGAGAACAAAACGGCTAGCCAACAAACGGTTGTTCTTAAAAACGTTTTATATTTGTTTACGTTATTAGGGCAGTAATTTTTGTTCCATCTTATCGACGTTTTGTTGAAGTCCACGGTCAAGACAGTACTGGAAAAATCCCAAATTATTTTACTCCACAACCCTTCGCTCAATATAGCGACCTCGTTTTCCGTGAATATACTGTTTTGCTCCCTAGTGATACATATTCGTTACTTACGTTCAGGAATATTACTTGGTGTATAAATAATGATAAGTTCAAAACTATAACTATTTTCGTTATTTTTATATTTGAATAGTGATAAGGTAATTTTATTTATTCTGATGCTGCTACATACAATGCTAGATAGAATAACTTGAACGATAAACAAAACTTACGACGATTCTAAGTATAGTCACTACCTATATCACAAGGCTAAAGTCATGACGTCAAACACAAATCAAAGTAAATAAAAAATAAGATCAAGTACCACAACGTAGTTGGTACCTAGCTAATATATTTAAATAAATAGTTATGACTACTCAAAACACAATAATGATTTACATAATTACATTACCACTCAATTCTCAATAATGACTTAAGTTTGAAGCAGAATTTGAAATTATCAACATATTTATTGTCTTTGAAAAGTATCACGATAGTTATCCGCTATATACATATACATATATATATATATATCGGATATATATATATATATATATAATAATCTCAATGCAGAGTACTAAAAATCCGTCCTCAAAATTTCGTGCAATTACATCTATTTGCCAAGTTGTATTGAAATCGATTACCGAAGTGCGCGAAACCAGATTCATTGCCTAGTTTGCCACCCTTAGAGACCCATTAAAATTTGAAGAAAATATATCCCATTAAAATTTGAAGAAAACATTCCCCATATTTTCTTCAAATTTTAATGGGACCACTACTGAGGAACCCTGTTACCAACAGAAGAAGAATCATCAAAATCGGTTCACAAATCAATTTCATTTGTGACATTCATTATTGAGATTTGACACGTTTAGATAAGTTTTGGATATAAACACTACATTGCTAGAGGTAGCATTTTGTAGTTTTTATAAATACTAACATAATTAATTATCAAGGTACATTTAAGATAGGTGATTATCATGAGAATTATGACTTCAGAATCTAGTTAAAAGTAACATATCTTTGGGTTTCTTTTTCGTAAAATAAAGTTATATGTAAGAATTCCACGTAATCAACTTAAGCTAACGGTCGAAGGTTATCTATTAAAGTCAATATTGATATGTCTACGTATAAAAGACAATGCCATCTTAATAGCCCGTTGATTCAATTGACTCTACCAGTGATTTGAACATGTCTAAATTCACGGTATGTAAAATATTTGTTTACAAAGATACTAAATATTATCTAGTATTCAATTTGAACGGGGAATTGCTACCATTAACATTTGCAAAAGTTGTAAATTATAAACTCTCAAGAAAAAATAAATAAATATAGGCGAGTCTAATCGGAAGAATTATCATGAAGCAAAAATGTTAATTGTTATAATTGCTAAATTAATAATATCAGGCGAATTGTAATATTTTATCTTTTTTTCTGGTTATTACAGATCCTTTTGGTTTTAGTGGCCATCGTCGCTGTCACAAGTGCACAAGGTATATCTTTTTTGTATGTGAAGTTTTCGACACTTTGTCGTTATTTTTATATATATACTTATATATGAGCATGGGACACGTGTAACGAAGGTTTCGTTCGAAGACTTGTAAATAAGATAAAATATCATAGATTTAATTTCAATCTTTTCTTCTCAGAAAACAACTAAAAAAATGATCAAGGACGTTTGGAATTGCCGTTACTCCAATATAAAACCACTTTGTTATAATTTTAACGAGCGCAATGTGTCGATAGCTTTATTTCACTTTACATACAAACTGTAATTAAATTCAAATCATTTAATAAGTTGTTCTGATAAAGCAATCTATTTGCAAATTTAAAAATTTTCAATTATCATGTGTTGTTTTCAGTAAATGTGGCTCATAGCACCCCCGATGGACAGCAAACTGGTAAGTACATTATACGCAAATAACATAACCATTCGTGAGTGTATTGTTACGCATAGTGTCAAAGTAGTGACAATAATAATTGATACTAATTACGATTCCAATACCTGTGATAATTCATAATAATATATAACCTACCTGAGACATGGCAAAAAACACACCATCGTTACCAGTTTACCACGCTGCAAAA